ATATGTATATACATATACATATATATTGCGGAACTAAATATTTATTACATATATATATGTAAAAATCGATTTTTATTTATTTCGTGAATAAATATCAATGTATCACTTATGTTATACTTATAACATACGTCTTATTACTGCGGATGACCATATTTCACTACTTTGACCCTTTATATCTTGGAAATATTGACTTTTGGGACTTGGTGCAAGGATAACTTTTTATCAGCATGGCGAAAACTATAACATAGTGAAATTCCAGCCAATTTGACCGAAAACCATTTTCCATAGGTTTTGTGCGGGGTCCTTTGGAGAAAATAATAGCTGAACATTTATTCGCGGGATATAAAGTTAATTTCTGCGAAATGAAGTTTAGTTTCCGTGAATAAACTTCATATCCCACAGACAAATGTTCAAGTATTTCTTCCTCAGCGTGGGGAGCTCGTCTGCGTTGGACTCACGCGCGTGTTGCATGACGATAATCGAACGGAATGAAAGGCGAGAGATAAGGGATTTGTCGTCGGATAACTCGATTTTCATCAGCCCGTAGCATAATACGCGATTATATCGCGGCGGTCCTTCAATCCAGTCGCATCTTGGAACCGCTTTCAAGCGGCACTCAATGGCGCGCGCCCTCTCCGCCGCGCGGGGGCGGTTACCATCTTCTTGCTCGGATTTTTGGCAACGCTTCCGACGTCGCCGAGTTTCCTTCACGGGTTGCTGCGCAACGGGGACGTGACGTGATCCAGGTGGACCAAGGATATTAAGGCGGCGAGGCCGCCTATAGTGCAGTTCCGCTTTCGAGGGGAATTACGGTCTTACCGGGTGCTCCTCCCTCGTAGCTCGACGCAGTTCGCTTGCCAATATATGTTTGCCTGGTCCCCCGGGATAACGTCTCGGCGAACGCGACGCGACGCGATGCGATGCGACGCGACACGACACGGCGATTCGTGTTCATAAAACCCTCGTACTCGCAACGCCGGGTGACCCATATAACAGCCGTGCTACGGGAGTTGCTGTTTCACAGCCGGGCTCTCTCTGTGCGCATCCCGGTGGCGCGACATGGCGTCGAGGCGACGCCTGGGAAATTTACGACGCAAACGACGAACGCAACGCGTGCAATCTGTCCGTCGCCACACCGTATCCTCGCGCGGCTCCACACAGCCACACACGCACGTACACACGCACCTTCTCTTCTTGAACCCCGCGCGAATCCTTGCGCACTCCTCGCGCCCTCAGAATTCCGGAGAGGTCTGCGCGATTGCTCGCGCACCCTCGCCAGCCGTCGCGCGCTTTTGTTGTGCTCTCCGCATGTCCAGACGCCCCCCCGTCCTGCCTTCGAGTCCTCGCTACCTCAGAGTTTCCGACCGTCTCGAGCGATCGTCCTCGCAGCGAGCCGTAGGAACTGATATAATTGCTGGTAATTAACCACCGGCGGCGCGTACAGTTTCACCGATAGTTTCGCGAACTACCGTGTCTCTTCTCGTTTGATCCTCCCTCTCTGTCTTCCTCTCCCGCCCCGCTCAGATCGCGGAGAGAGTCTCGCATTACACTTCTCTCACCTCCTCTCGTTAGTCGTGGTCGTTGTTGGATCGTTGTTCGTCGCCCGTTCGTTCGTCATCGATCAGCTCGGCTCTCCCTTCGCCCTCTCGATCCTCGTGTTTCTCGGCTACGCGTGGCAGGTCGAGCTCGTTTCCTTCCACCGAGCCCCGGAGCCCCCCAGGAGTTTTGCCGACACAACATCTGTCGCTCTCTCGTTGGCGGGCGCGTTCTTGTTTCTTTTTTTCTCTTATTATTATTATTATTTTTTCTCTTTTTTTAATTCTTTTTTTGTTTCGTCATCGTCGATCCCCCGGCGATCGAGCACTCGTCTACTACTGATATGTCTGTTTCTCTCGCGGTTGCCGTCATTCCCGATTTCGCTTTCGCTCCCGTCGCGTTCTCTTTCTCTCTCTCTCTCTCTCTCTCGCTCTCTCCCTTTCGCTCTCTCCCTTTCGCTCTCTCTCTTTCGCTCATTCTCTCGCTCACTCTATGTCCGTTCGCGCTCGCTCGCGCTCGCGTTCGTACGTTCATTCTCCTCCTCAGGAAAACGGGCCGCTCGACGGAGCTAGGACGGCTCGGCCGACCGAACCGGCCGGGAGCTAGACGATGTCGTATAAGACGAAAGTGAGGCCGATCACTAACAGGCTCAGGGTCTGGAGTATCCAGAGGCGGGAGTCGCTGAGGCTGGTGCCGCTGCACGTATCCTTGGACGCGACCTCCAGTTTTGCTGTAACAAAATCGCGAACTTATGTCTCTTAGCATGCTTGAGCTTTTCGACGTGTCGACTATCTTAAAGCTACGTGTGTTCATAGAAGGAGGAGGGCATACTAGGTGGCGGCGGGCCGCCGTGCGTTCGAGATCTGCGTATCTTTTTCGTTCCAGAAAGAGAAAAATATCGAGAACGCGGTCTTGCTAGGCCGGGTCTTTCGCTTGCCGGCCGACTGCTCTAAACCACTGAGCTACCTGACGCTCCACGCTCACGACACTCTCCTCTTCCTAGATAACGCTCAGAGATGCCGTTCGGAAGCGACATCTCTGGCGCGATCCCGAGCGCACGGCGACTACAGAGAGAAACAATGGCCGCGTTCAGTAGAACAAGTGATCAGTAAGCGCTCAGTGAGCTCTTGCATCTGATTGGAGTATAGTTGGAGATCTAAAAGAATATGCCAAATCATATACAAGAGCTTCCTGAGCGCTTACTGGGCGCATTCAGTAGAAAAAGCGCTCAGTGAGCAATCAACGATTATTGGTTCTTGCTATTAGATCCCTAAATCTAGACCAATTACATTGACAAATTACTCAACTGTTGTGCAACTGTTGAGTCTGCTGAATGCAGCCACTGATCACTTGTTCTACTGAACGCGGCCAATGTTACTGTACCAAACGGTACAGCTGTCAGTCTCTCAAAGTCAGAGGTAGCTATCCTTTAAGACCTGCTGTCCATGTATGCCCGTCTCCACCGTTGCCCCTCCTCATCCGGTGCAAATAATACAAATAAGACCCGGGGTCGACACCAATTTTTTGGCAGCCCCCCGATGCTTGGACGCAATGCGCCATGGGGGATCCACCATAGAAGGAGGAGGGATCAAATTGAGCGCAGACTGCGCGCAGATTGGCAGCAAATTTGATCAAAAACCCACAGCAAAACCATAGCCATCTGTGTCTACATTAGGCTACGGTTTTGGCGACAGATCTTGCTGTCGGGCAATTGGTGCCAAATTTGCAGCAATTATCCGACAACAAGCTCTGCCGCATATCTGGCGGCAATTTGGCAGCAAGATTTGATATAACAGATCCTGCATCAAATTTGTTATCTATTTGCCATCAAAAGTTGATAGCAAGCTCTGCTCGAAATCTGCTCGCGCAGGTTTGGCTATCTGGATAGGTGGCGGCGAGTCTTAGAAGTGCAAACTAATTTCACTTTTGCGCGCTTAACAAGGAGGAAGCAATGCCGGACTGATTCAAGGACTGTTCTCTCCAGCACACTCGAGAACTCTCGTGTATGTGTGTGTGTGTATATTTGCGCTGATATCGCAGGCGTACCAGCTCATGTCTGTCTGTCAAATCGCCCTTTGATCTCTTAATCGTGAAAGACTAATCAAGAACCGAGGGGACCGAGTACTTTACGTTGATTGCAACGATGTTATTATATTAAGAAAAAAATTCATTAAAAAAAACATTAAGAAAAAAAATATTTGATTTTTCTATGATCACAAAGAAATAATTATTACAGACTATGGCCAAGAAAACCATTTTTTAAAATTAAATTCTACTATAATATAGCGATGATAATCTTATATGCAAATTATTATTATCATTTTCGTGTTAGAACAACCAAAAAGTATGCTTTGGCCCAAAAATGACTATAATTTTGGTTAGATCAACCATTTTGTTCTCTCAGTCTAGTGACCGGCATTATGATTTCGCGACGTCTCCTTAATTTACGGGTAATTTTCAGATAATTAATTGCACGTTGAATTGAATATACGGCCAACGAGAAACTGATGAAACTGGCTAATAAGTGTATGCATCAGGAAATGCAAATATCTTCTCGTAACTATGATTAATCAAGCCTCTGAGAATAATTTATGGAAATCAACGCGGCAGTCAACCCTCCAATATAGGTCTTGATAACTCGCGAGAAGGTATTCCAATCTAAGTTGCAACGATTGTATGTCGCAACGGCACGTTCGTAGCCAAGGCCAAAGTCTGCTCACGCATCAACAAGCCACGTGTCGCGCTGGTTGTCGCTAGAACGACGATTTCTTACAGAGTCGTTACGTATCGCCAACGAGAGTCTGACTAGCTCGGGTTATCACGTCGGGTTACAGTCACAGTCTAAACATGACATCTCCGAGAGCGGAGAGAAGAAGCACAAATCGCACGGAAAGCAACGCTGCATTCGTTCATTTATCTCCTGTCCGCACGAGTGGAGCATCTGAGAAGCGTTCCCAAGGAGCTGGTACCTTCGAGGTGGTTCCTCAAACGTGCGAAAGAACGGCACGAAGAAGAGAATGCAACTACCCCGAATACACAGATTGACGTCATAGCGTCATTTGTCTCTGTGCTGGCTTTATATTCAGGAACAACATAGGAAAACAGTATGGTTAACCCGTAGATAAACTCAGGTTTGGAAAGTAACTCGTTACTTGTAACGAAGTTACAGTTACATTTTTTCGGTAACTGTAACTTAACTTAGTTACTTTTTCCCACCTGTAACTGTAACTTAATTTAGTTACTTATTTTTAGTAACTTGTAACTCTTTTAACATTTACTTTAATAGTTACTTGGGGAACGTAAAATTAAATTAAAATTATATAGTAATTGTACATATTAATTTAATAAATATATCAACGTATTTATGGAGCATGTGATTAAATTCTTTTATCTCTACAAGACTATCATTAAGTTTTTATTGTATTAAGTACAGATTTGAAATTTGTTAAATGGATAGACTAATTAATGTGATAGATATTAATTATAAAATTCAATTCTTACGTTTTAGTAAAGCTTAAAATGTAAGATTTTTGTATTTAATAATAATAATAATTTACAATCGTTTTAAGAAAGTAACTTAAAAGTTACGACTCGTTATTTTTTGAGTAACTGTAACAAGTTACTTTTCATAGCCAGTAACTTGTAACTGTAACTAGTTACATTTTCAGCAAAGGGAATTGTAAATAGTTACTTTAAAAAGGAACTTTCCCAACCCCGGATAGACCTAATCGTGTCAATTTTGTTCAATACTGAATCTGGTTGGCATAACCACATTTATGTATGAACGAATCATATTATTTTTCCGCGAAGAAATAAAGTATTAGAAACAAAAAATGAAGAAGAATATTAACAACTTAAATTAGGCATTAAGGGGGAAATCACTATAGAGATTCACAAAAATCGAATTTTCTTTTTTTGCTTTAATTAATAGTACTATATGTATAGAATATATTCCCAAAGTTTGGTTTTGAAGTGCAAAATCTAAATAGTCGTACAGGACATTTCTCGCACGCAGGTATAAGACGAGCGTACAGTGACTCGCAATGGCTTTGTTTCGAAAAACCCACTTGAAAAAACGGAAAAAACCATTGTAAGAAAGATGCTTAGAATGCTGTTAGAAAGGTGCTTAGGTGGGCACACAAAAAATGCGAATAAAAGTTTTAATAGTTCGATTTAGCGATCAGCTTTAAAGCATGTACATTCTGGCCTTAAAATCACCGGAATCACCGCCTATATTGCCGCTGGGATATTTAATGAAGACTACTTTGCTGTTTTATAATGGAATATAATGGAAATTTTTAATATAATGGAAATATTATAAATTAAAATTGGATCTCTATGTAAGTTACATGCTGATAGTAAGGACACCGAGCGAATAAAGAGACAGGAGCGCGCGGCGCCACAGCCTAAGTTGCAGTAAAGAGACTTGAATAGCAAGTGAACAACACCAACTTGAGCAAAAAAACTTGTTTGAAGAAGCGGAAGGTTTGCTGTATGGGGCAAGAATAACGGATTAGCAGAAAACAGCTGTAAGTTTACAATTTTCTATATCTGAAACTTTAAACGCGTTTTTCTCGAAACGACTTCTTCCAAACTGGTGTGCAAGATAATTAAAAAACTATTTGACCAATCGAGTTGCCCTTTAACATACATTTAATTTATTATATTTGCTAGTCGATGAACCTATAAAATCCATAACATCATTTATTTAAACTTTTATTTATTAAAATTTTTTCGCATACATGAAGATGAATTTTTATGAGTAAAAATCGAACTTTTGATTCAAGGGCTGCTTTTTTGTCAATCACAAAATTTCTTCCCAACTTGTTTAGGTTCATCGACAAATTAGGACCATAAAGAGTAAAAAATTTTTCCCTATTTTGGTTTCAGATGAATACAACGGAAGCCAGAGTGCACACCGTTTTGTGCCGACTCTGTCGCAACGCTCAACATTTCTTTCACTACATAAAATTTATAAACATTTTTCTTAAAAATATTTTTCTAATACTTTAATGTACAAGCAAAAACACTACAAAATTGAGAAGCGATTGGATAAATATATTCTTCAAAAAAAATTCACGAAAATTCCCTTATTTTTGACGTTCTATAGTGATTTCTCTCTTTAAAGCTGATACGCTTGTGTGTGAACTATATGCTCTAGAAAGATGTAACTTTGTGTATTAAGGTTCTCATTTTTCGATTTGAACAGTTTTTCTGTTAATTAAAAATTTTTTTTGACTAAGATAATCGGCAAATCAATAATCAAAATTAATCAGGCATTATTTAATCGATCGATTTCATCGATCGATGGAATTAATTATCAATCAAACATTCATGTGTATATACGTGTGATTGATTATACACAGATTATGCACAGATTAATAATTAATCTCATCAATCAATCTCATAATTCTTCGTAATCTTACAAATGGCGATTGGTAAATTGTGATTACTTGCTGATTGTTCAGCAAGTCTGCTAATTATTTCAGTCAAAGATAATTCTAATCGGTTAATATCCAACGCTGACGTCGACCTATGCACTCAACGAGAAGTCTCGAGATGAGAGATCTCTCGAAATTCTTTTCGAATCCGCCGAATCGACCTGAAGAGTCCCCTCAACGACGCACAACCACGTGCAGGCTCGCGGATTCGATGCGCTTTCGACGCAAAAGTTCCCAAAGCATCGATCCGCCCTGCCTGCCTGCCTGACTGCCTACCTGCCTGCCTGCC